GGTAACTAAGAGGATGCAATTAGCACTGGAGTCCTTGGTCACCTACCAGGCAAACCCAAACATGTGCTTCCAGCAGGGCTTTAAATAGCTGCCCAGGCTGGGGGCCCATTGTTTAATAGCTCCAATGTGAATTCTGAAAATAGGAGGTTTGGACAGGATTTCCACTATTGGAGGAGTAGGAAATGAAATCATCTTTTAGTATAGTTCTGTTTAGGGGTGTTTTGTTTAACAAGAAAAAGTCAGAAGAGTTCTGCCCTTGTAACTGCACCCCAGATCACTGGCACAGGTGGACAGATCTAAGCTGTACATTAACTTGTCTGCTGATGACTTACAGCTCAGAAATCTCCACCTTTTCTCCTGCTCATTGTTCTGCATCGTTATCATGTAGAGGAGGTTGTGTTATCATACAGATGCATCTCGTCTCTTCAGGGCTAAGTACAGACAGACCAGAACACCACGTCTTCATTTTTCATTCTTGTATTTTCCCCAAAGCAAGCTTCATTAAGTGTTCCCATTCATCCCCAGTAAGAAATTATTTAGTTCAAGAGTTATTGTCTCCTTTAAAATAATTTTTAAAGTGTGGTTTTACATGGAGATGAGGAATTTGCTTTATCGCAGCAGAATTAGTTGCTGCGCCCATCTCTGCATAGACTGAAATAGTTTTTTAATTTTTGTATTTTTCCTACAATATGTTGGCACTTCTCAAAACAGCTCCAAGTTGTGAATTGTTTCCAAGCTAGATTTAAAGTAACTTAGGAGCAGGAAGAGAAATGGGATAAAATGCAATCCTGCAAGAGTTCAGGGTTGGGTTATTAAAATTTTATCAGTCAAGCCAGCATATAAATGACCACATCTCATACTGTGGCAAAAAAAAAAGTGTGAAAAACGGAAGCATAGTCATACACATGACGTTACTCTGTGCAGTCTGAGATGTCAGCTAGGGAGAAACACTGTTGTTTGTCAGAAGAGTTAAAGTTCGAACTCAGTGGCACCAGCGTGAAGATGTTCATGATTTCACCATTTGCTTGTGATTGCTATTTTGGCCAAAGGGCCTGATTTCTGGAGAAGACTAAGGCAATCAGGAGGGGTGCTGAGGTGGCATTGTGAACCTGCTTGCATAGTAAAGCACTGAGATTTCTCATGCCTTCTCTGGGGTGCACTCACCTGTGTGATTTATTCAGTTAATGTGTTTTCAGCCTACCAAAATGCAAATCTTTATAAATAAGCCCTTCTCTCTTCCTGAGTGTCATGGTTTAACCCCAGCCAGCAACTAAGCCCCCAGACAGCTGCATGCTTCCCCCCGGTGGGACGGGGAAGAGAATTTAAGGAGTAAAAGTGAGAAATCTTGTGGATTGAGATAAAGACAGGTTAATGAGTAAAGCAAAAGCCATGTGCAAGCAAAGCAAAACAAGGAATTCAGTCACCACTTCCCATGAGCAGGCAGGTGTTCAGCCATCCCAGGACAGCAGGGCTCCATCATATGTAATGGTGACTTGGGAAGCCAAACACCATCACTCCAATTGTCCCCCTTTCCTTCTTCTTCCTCCAGCTCTATACACTGACCATGAAGCCATATGGTATGGGATATTCCTGAGGTCAGCTCAGGTCAGCTTTTCTGACCGTATCCCCTCCCAACTCCTTGTGTCTCCCATCCTCCTCCCTGGTGGGGAGGGGGCAGGAGCAGAAAAGGCCTTGATTCTAAGTTCTGCTCAGCAAGAATGAAAACATCCCTGAACTGTTTCGAGCACAAATCCAAAACACAGCCCCACACTGGCTCCTACAAAGAAAATTAGCGCTGTTCCAGACAAAACCAGCCCACTGACACACCTGGGTTTTTTTCACCTTTTTAATGAGTCAGACATTTTTCTGTTCCACATCTGAGTATGCGAATGAGGGTGTTACAGTCAACCAACCACCCTGATGCTTGTAAAGTGCCTAACTTGGTGCTTGAGCCATGTTAGGAGAAAGCCCTGCTGATTGCCAGCCAGAGCTGAAAGGTGATGAACAAGAGCAATAGTGTCTGCTCTGGTACTGCCTGGAGTTCTTTGTGATCTTGGACAAGTTACTTAACCTCATAAAAACAGATTTGGGCTGTTTTTACAGATGATAACCACATCTCCTGAGAGTGCCACAAAGCTTTCCTCACTTTTGCTAGTACTTGGAAAAAGGGCTATTGAAGTTCAGGCATTAGTCTGGCCATTAGGTGTTTGATGTGGAGAGAAGCGTTGCCCCACTGATGGTTCTTTCAGAAAGTTCATGAACTGGGGACATGTTTGCTCACATTGTTCCTGTAGTGTTTTCAAAGCAGGGGGGCAGAGACTTCTTGAGCAATCTTTCTAGTATTGGCTGCTCCTGTTACATACTGGCTCCTCTTCTGTTTGAACTGTTTGCCAGAAGTCAGAACCTGTCCCAGATTCTTACCCCCAAGTCTGACATCTTCTCAGATGTGAGGAAGCAGAACATCAAAGCCTTGTGAGTGGTTGCCCTTTCGAAGAACGCTCCCCAGGGTTTAGCGCGACGCTTGTTTGATCCTGTTGGATGAAAATGGATTGTCAGGTCTGTCACCTCTTCTAGACTGCATTTGATATCTGGGGAAGTTTCAAGAGAATAATTTTTGGCTACAGGTTAGGACATGGTCTTTTTGTCACCTTCCCTTGTGTTACATTTTGCATCTGATGTTTAACATCTGCTCCATCCAAGGGAACTCTGTGTACATCCCTGATGTTTGTCTACTTGTTGTCTGGATGGAGGTGCTTTTGCTGGCCCACAGAAGAGTTGTTTGGCTTTGTGGCAAGGAAGTGACTGTCCCAAATTCTTTCTCTGTAGCTGCTCACGGGCCATTTTTTACCTGTCTTCAATCCTGAAAGTCCACTGACTTTCTGGCAGAGTAACTGTATTGTAGGTTATTTTGCAGATGGGATTCTTATGGGAATAGACAGAAAACAGTTTTAAAAAAAGTTTAAAAAATCAAAAGGTTAGCTGTTCTCGTGCTATTAAGGAATCTTTTATTATGGTGTTTTTGTTGTTTTTTTTCTTTAACTCCTCATTCTAGCAAACTTCCACTGCTCTGCCTTAGGGAGAGCCCAGCTTGTAGCACTTGAGTCAGGCTGGCATGGCCTGCTCAGAGTGTGCATAACTCATGGCTTTGTGGAGGCTGTGGATAAAACTGATGTCTTACCTGCTCCTTATTGGGATGTCCTTAGGAAGATCAGCAAAGCAAGGATGTGTAGGGGGAGAGATGTACAGTTCTAAGTGGCATTAAATGCAAGTTCCCCCAAAGTTGCACTGTCCCACCACTTCTCCCTTCGACATTTGAGGCTTCTACTGTGGGCATGAGCAGGGTTTGTGAAGGGATTTCATATGAGCTGCTGAGTTCCCTGCCCACCCATTGGACAGTGATGTATTACGATGTATGTGCAATAGTTCCAAGAGCAGTAGAAGTAGGTCTTCCCTACCCTTATTCTCTTTTATAACATCCATACTAGTAAACCTGTGCTTTCAGTTTTCACATCATCTTGCTAATAGATGCCTGGTGCTGGGAGGAAAGAAATTTTCAGCTTCAGAGCCTCCTGGTTCAGGTACTGAGCCGTTGCAGCAACATCCATGCGTGTTTTCATCCCCGTCTGCACTTGTCTTTGATACCTTTCCAGCTGCATTTGCTCTCCTTAGGAAGCCACGCAGCCTCATCTCTGATAATTTTGGTGCTCCCCGCAGTGTCCTAATAGCAGTTTTGACCTTTCAATTAACTTCAGGATCGCCTCTTTCAGCACACAAAACCTGTACAGATGCCAAAAGCCTCAGAACAGATTTGCGAGTTTGGCTGAAAGACCATGAAGATTAGGGACATATTTTCCCTTTTGTCAGGGAAATCAACAGCAAAGGGCCCTGACAGATGAAGGAAACTTTCCCACTGACCACAAATAGGGGCTTAAATTGAATTTTCAAGCCTTTAAAAATAAATCGTCATTTTGTATTTAATTAACCAGAGTTTCATGAATGTGGTAGTATGCTGAGGTCATGGGCAAAAAGAAGCTTTTCCAGTAATTAGTGCAGGGTCCATGCCGTTCTGGCAAAAACAGCCATGACGTCAGTCTGAGGCTGGAACAAGAAACTGTGCCACATAGTGAACTTGAAACACAAACCTTATTATTGAAGGGGCATGTCTGACAACTACAAGTGCTGGCTGTGTTGGACACATAGTATATTTTTCCTTTTAAAATTGCAGAAAGGTGTTGTGGGGTTTTTTTTTTTGAGTTTCTGAGTCAATGAAATTGCTGCCATGCCAGGACTTCCCTTCTCCTGTTTCCCCTGCCCTAAATAAATAAAGTTATCGAACTTCCAACTTTTTTGTTTTGTAAATATGGAAAGTGGCCATTTCCATGTTTTTATTTAACAGAAGCAGCTTAGTTTTAGTTTTGTCATGCGAACCCAAACAAAAGGGGCAGGTGCAGCGGGGAGCAAGCACAGGGCATGCCCGGGCAGGTTTTGCTCTGGTAGCCATTTAGGTCTTTGTTTTAGGTGAAATTCCAATGTTTTCAGTACAAACCAAGTGTTGTGACAGCATTTGGAGTATGTAGTTTTGCAGCACTCCGATTCTAGTTTCTGACGAGTTACCGGAGTCCTGTGGAGCTGGGAAACAAAAATTTGACCATATAATCTGGCTTTTGGTACGTTAGCAAAATCTTCACTGGAATTACTCAACACTCTTGAGTTTACTTGTCACGGATCATAAATAGCCTGGTCAGATAATGGTGGCTAATAGTTCTTGGTTTATATTGGGACAGAGAAGAGTTACACATCTTTTCCTTTTAAAGTCTATAGGAAATACTTATCTCTGATGATGCATATAAATTCCTGAGATAGTATTATTTTTAGAATTGTGACCATTGGTCTTACTTGATTTAATGTAGACTATGTGTGTCAAAGGAGTTGGTCAGTTCTGTTTCTTCCACCCATGCCATTTTTCTGTTTTTACAGGCTTTCTGGGTTTTGTTTTGCAGGCCATGACTGCTGTGAGACAGTGAAGGTGGCACTCTGTGCCTCCAGAGAAGGTCACCCTGTTCTGGTTGTGGCAGAAGAGAGTTTCCAGTTTGTCCAGGATGAAGCCTACGATGCTGCCCAGTTTCTGGCCACCTGTGCTGGCAACCAGCAGGCGCTGAACTTCACGCGGTTCTTGGACCGGTCAAGACCCCCTGCTGCAGACGTGGACTTTCTGGATGAGAAAGTGGCTTTGGCGTTTCGACACCTGAAACTTCCAGCAGAATGGAACGTGCTGGGAGCAGACCAGTCCCTGACCGGTGAGAATTTCTAGGGCACAGTGAGACTTGTGGGTTGGCAGAGAGGTAAAAAGCCTGGGAGAAAGGGCTCCCTGCCTTGGGAACCCCCTACATGCCTTTCAAAAGGTGTGGTGGCCTCTGTGCTTACAGAAGGGACCTTTGCCCTTCCACCAACATAAAGTACATAAGGCACTGACTGATGTTTTCTCTGGGTTTTCTCTTATGAAATAGCATGAGCTGACGTAAATGGACCATATTTTAACACATACCCAGAAGGTTTCTTTGTTCGTATATAGCAATGATATGTGTATCAGCATCACACTATATCCTGACAAAAACGTGTGTGTAAAAAGTCTTGATGCTCCTGGAAACATCCTTGTTCCATAAATCTGTTGCTTTTGCTAAATGTTGGGTTTACAGACCAGGTACGAAGATTTTATGTGTAAAATATATGTTATTTTACTTGGAGAAGTTGTGGCTCTTTCCTTGAGGGTTTATATTGCATCCCTGATTGTACATCAGTTGGGTTAGCACAGAAGTCCCCCAAAATAAACCTGCACAATTTTGCAAATATAGGAAGGGGAAGGTGGGAAAGTCTGACCCTTCACCACAGCAGCAAGGGTTACTGAGAGCTTATAAATAAACCTCAAGACTGGCCCAAAGTCTCTGGTGACTTCTGAAGCAGAAGTGCCGAGGTGTTCCAGATGCTGTGGCGTGTCCGTGTTCTTGGAGTTCTTCTTATTTGGTCACGGGGGAGTAAAAGGAAGCATACTGGGGGTTTGGGAGACTAGTTCCAGTGTTTACAAATACTTGCTGGTAATTTTCAGGGTATTTTGGCAAATAGTTTCACTTCAGGAATGTGTCTATGAGGCATCTGTTATCTTTTATAGGATGCAGTGGCATAAACACTTGAATAGGACTGGCACGTGGCTTGCCTGGTGCAGCAGGCTCAGTTCTGCTCGCTGCAACAGGGTTTTCCACAGGAGATTTTCCTGCTTTATTTTTTCTCTAACTTGCTGACTGCTTTTGTAAACCTGAATACACGGACAGGCAATTCTCGCATTAGCAGACTTTGAAAGATTTGGTCATATTTAAGGGTTTCTGGACAGAAATTCAGCAGCTGTCATATGTTTACAAGGAGATAAACACCTGGTATTTTTTTCCTCTATGTGGAAGTCACTGGTGTTTCTTTCTGCATTTAAAAAAGTTGTGATAACGCAGACATCTGTGGTTGAAGTGATAAAAATATGGTCGAAGTGATCTTAATGAAAACTTTGAAGCTCTGAATTGTTGCTGATTTTGCAGGAAACTGAAATCCGGTTTCTCTTTTTGATTTTGATTATTCTTTGGAAAATCAGCATTTAGGGAAATCAGGCCATAAGATTTACATTGGTTTGTTCAGCCTGTGCTTGTGTGCCTGGAAGTTGTGGTTGTGTGGGGCTCTGAATGCTAATGGACCTGTGGAACATCTGTGGCATTCTCAGTGAGAAGGGGGAGCTCTGTAGTGCTGAATTCTGTAACTCTGATTGTTTTGACATATTGTGGTGAGGTTTTTGTAGACAGTACTATTAGTGAATAAACATAATGGCATTAAATGCAACTTTCATCCAAGAATATTAGTGCTATAAAATATGTTGCCTTTTTTTTTTAGAGTTATTTTTTTGCAGTGAGATAATTATACATAGGGTATTTGGGGGAATTTTTGTGATTGTGACAGGAAAGATTTGCATGTGTAAGCGTCCTTTTGGTCATAAAACTGTTTTGCTAGAGTGAGATAGAAGAGATGTCCCTGATTTATGATGGAGCTCTAGATTAGAAACATCTCTGTGGTGGTGCTTGTGTATTAATTTGTGTGTGGGAGAGAGAAAAGCACTGCAAAGATTGAAACTGTGGGAGCATTTGAAGAATTAGGCATATTCTGGCTAGTGCCTCTGCAGTGGGACACACTGTCCTGCGCTGCAACACTACCTATGAACAGCTATTCCAATTCATGTTTCACATTTTCCCTAAATGTCAGCACCAGATAACTTCAAATAACCTTCTCGAAGGAGAAAATACTATAGAAATGAGAACAAAAGAAAATGTCAGATCCCTCCTTGAGAGATGTTTAGCACTGCCTCTAAGCTGGCATGTCTCTATGGGCTCTTGTGGGCTGGAAACAAAACGCTGCTGTTCAGCAAAACCTCAGAAGGCGGGAGCGAGCCGGGAGCCTCAGCCAGCTCCCCGAGTGCCTCAGCCTGATGGGGAACTGCTGTTCAGAGATGGCTGTTGCTGTCAAGCATGTTTAAAAGTCGATTTTTCGAAGGCCTGAAGTAGGAGTCTAACTTTTGTAAAAGTTAGGAAGTAATGGCCTTTCTGCAAGCAGAAGCTGGGTACAAGATCCACCACTGAGCACAAATCCAGGTTGAATTTTGAGGAGGGTATGGCTTTATGTGGAGAGTTCTCCTTGCTTTCACTTGCATTCAACACTGACTAGTCTTTGAGCAGAGGGCAGGGAGTTCATTGCCATCACACACCACAGAGGGCAGAGAAGCTGCTAAAAGTGTCACCCAGCTCTGTCTCCTGAGGCTGATTAACTAATCTGCTGTGTCAGCAAACAGGCACAGCCAGCAGACTAGGAATGGGAGAACCTAAGATTCCTGAAATTAGAGGTCCTTGAGCTCCATCCTCTCTTGCTGAGGCAGGCAGAGGGTACTCAACCATTTGTTTAGATGACCTGGATAGCAGCAGAAAGCCTGGCACATGCTGGAGCTGGAGGAGGCAGAGGAAGCAGTGCCATGTGTGGTGCCATGGTCCTGCTCAGCTGGTCCATCACTGTGTCCTTGGGTTGCAGGGGCTGGTCAGGTGCACATGTGTGTAGGGACAGGATTTTCATTGCAGATAAAGAGTGGGCCTGAACCCCCTTGGCAAAGTGTCCCGAGCTCCTTCCTCCCTGCGCAGCTCAGTCCTCATCGCTGCTGTTTGGGAACAGCCGTGTCCCCGAGCACTGTGCTCTTCCCCCAGCCATACAGTGTCCCTGCACAGCAGGCCTTGCACTTAGTTATCTGTGTATCTCTATGAACTTAAATGGCATCCACAATTTCAGAATATCCATAACTAAGGATTACTCTTGTTACCGTGGTATTCCAAACACAGCATTTCTTTCAGGTGCCGTATAATCATGTCTGTCTTAATAATTACAAGTGCACTGTAACTTTCCAAAGAACATAGTTGTTACTGCTGTCAAAAGTAGGGTTATTTACTGCTCTCAGTGGCATTTAAAGGCAGCTATTTAAATGGAACAGATTGTTGCACTTTATGTCTAGAAATCAAAATTTAATATGCATTCTGAGGATTTATGCAATGTAAATACAGGACTGCGATGTTCTATTTTAAATTACTGAAAAGAAAATAAGCTAACTAAAAAACCACAACTGAATATTTTGAGGTATGAGTAATGATTATGGCTTGTTTATATTGCAGTGGGGAAAAAAAAGGCAGAAAAAAAATTAGGGAGGATTTAAGGCTCAGGTATGAAAAGCTTAGAGAGCTTAATTGTATCGCTAGTAAACAGATCACTTTCAAAATATCTTGAAGTAGTACTCTGACAAAACCTTTCAGGAAACAGTCTTTTCATTTTGCTTATTAAAAGTGAGTGGTGAAACCCAGACCTATGGTTCCAGTTTTGGTTGTGTGGGCTGTCTGAGGTGGTGCTTCAGGAGCTGCTTGACTTTGGCAGAGAGTTGCTGTGATCATGATATGGAGCAATTCCCCTGGGAGTGTAAGGGCTGCTGGGAGATAGTGAGCCAGGATTGCGGGCAGATAACCAGGAGACCATCTGATTAGATAGAACCTTAACAGATTGCAGTTACTGATGTGTTGAATATGTACAGCTTCCCAGAAATGCTGTGGGATAAAAACCCTTGTGCAGTAAGTGCTGCTTGGGAAACTAAACTCCCTGAGTTCCTCCAGGTAGGAGATGGGTAGAGAAGGAAATGAAATAGTCTGAATGGATTATAGGTTTAATAACATCACATACAAAACCAGTAGGATGGATTTCAATGTACAGGACAACATGAATGTCATTGTGAATAGAGATAGTTAATTTGGCGGTTTTTTGCAGAAAGGGAGAATGTCTGAAGATAGGAACTAACCAAACAGAGTATCTTATTTTAAAGGAAAAAAACAAAAAAACTAAAAAAAAAACTTTTAAAAACTTTCAGAATTTGATTATTAGGAACTAAGCTCCTTTCCTGTGGGAGGATGTTAAAGATACGCAGCTGATGACTTTTTTTTAGACATAGAGCTTTAATCTGTTCATTTTATGTACCCTTTTTATACTTTCTTGCTGAACCCTTTCAGTGTAATAGTTATAGGTATTCTTTTTGTTGGGTTTCATATCCTTTCCAGTCTGCTGCTCACCTTCTGTATTCTCTGGTAAAGGACTGTGTGGCATAAGTCACCATGATCTATTCAGTGCCAACAGCACAAAGTGATCTGTTCAGCTACAGTCCTTGATAAGATGTAAAAAGTCTTTTCCATACCTAAATTTACTGCCCTCTGCAGTGGAAATCGAGAAGAAGAAAGTAATTCTTGTTCAGACAGCGTCTGAAATACTCTGCTCAGGACTGAGATGTACCGTTTAGTCTGTGGCTGAGAAATTGTTGGCATGAGAATGTTTCTGTTCCCTTTGATTTTAGTTGGAATGGGGACATGAAGATCTTTTGGTGTGCTTTGAAAAATTTCTTGTTTATCTGATTAGGAAAAGAATTACCCACACGTCTTTTATTAACTGAACTCATAACTCCAAACACAACAGCTTTGCCTTGACCTTTCTTCAGTGCAGTTGTGTGCTGGAGCCTTCCCGTAGGACCTCAGCGTTAGGTGACAGCTTGTTTCTGGGGTTTTTTCACCCTTGTTCCTCAAGGATTCATCTGAGCAGTGAGAACATTTCCATCAGAAAAGCAACATTTTGAGGCCAGATTTGATGGTAGATTTCAAAATCGCCAACTATATTTGGAGTGAGAAGCAGGTGAAGGTCAACAGCGCAGGAAGAGTAGCAAGCAGTGCTACCCATCCCATGGCTGGCTGTTCCATGGTGTTCTCAGGGCATGTTGGATAAACTGAGCAGTTAGGTACAGCAGTTTTTCTCTGTTATTTGATCAGGATTAAAATGAAAGTTTTTACTTAGTGTTCTTGTGTGTATCATACCCAAATTTTTATCTTCAATGCTTACTTGTTTTGTCCTAGGAGCATCTTAAACCTTAATCCTTTACTATTAACAAAGTACATTTGACAGTCTTCTATGGAAATTTTGTCCTCAGCTGCACAGATAAACTGTCTGTTCACGTATCACAGCAGAAAAGAATTACTCAAAAATAATGTATCTAAAATGTTGTGTTTTGCCAGCTGGATTAGAGTGCCCTGCCATTATGGGGCAATAATCATATGTTTCAACTCTTGCCTATTACTAGGAAACAAGAAAGGAACAAAACAACCTTGGCCTTTTCAGTATCATGTGTCTTGTATTTCCACAGTTTCCTAATTACAAGAAGGTTTTTATTTACATTCAGACGACAACCGTTTTAAGATGAGGAGCTCATGCTTGGTACAGGGTAGGAGAAGGAGCTCTGGCTATTGCATTTTAAAGTTTTTGATATTCTTCCATGCCTGGGACATGCATTTTGCACCATGGCAAGATCTTAAAATCATTGACTGAATTTTCAACATTTTGTATTACAAGCTTCATCCCTTCAAAGCTGGGAAGTCTGAAGGGATCTGTCTGTCTTCCTCCCCTCTCCATCCAGCAAAACACCCATGCCTGACGCAGACCAGCTCTTGTCTAGTTTTGAGCAACACCCTACACCAACAGATGTATTCTTCATTATATATTAGTAGTTAATCCAGCCCACAGATGGCACACGCCTTTTTAACTGCAACCATACAAGTTTTCCACACTCCAGAACCTTCCAAAGCCATCGCCTGGGGCCCCTGCAGTTGTTGGATGTACACTACTTTGTCTCTTTGCTGCCATCATCCGTGCCCATCTGTTAGAGTGGCCTCGTGCCAGTTTATATGTTAGACAGAGTCTTCCAAATGGGCCTGGATAGTGAGCTTGTATGTTTAATATGCTCCGATGGCAACACGCCATGTCCTCTTGTACAGATCTTCTGTGCACGTTGTCCTCGCTCCAAGGCATTGGGGCAGGGCCACATCCAGTGCAGTTGTATTTGCAGACATCTCCATCCAAACTCTGGAACTACTGTGCCCGCTAATTTGGTGCTAAAGAAGATTGTTTTAAAAGAATAAGGAAAAACACGAAAGGTGCAGTCCTATGAACAGACTGGGACAACTGGGAGGGGGCGTTTCATGTGTTGACATACGAGACAGAGAGGGGCACCCATTTGGCTCAGGGACAGAATGAGTGTTTGCATCTTGCAGAATTTTCAGTTGATGTGTGTGCTTAGTGGTGAGCCATGAATTGGTGAGTAGAAGATGCTTCTACCTATTGGTAAAGCTCTCAGCTGCAGGAGGAAGAAGCATTTTTGTCCAGGGGTCTGTGCTTATGCTTTGTAGCTCTAAGCTGCTCAGATTTGGTGCAAGACTGACTGTATTAATTAAGAAAATGATTTTTCCTTTCAACAAATCTAGAACAGGACATCTTGTGCTAGAACGGGTGTGGTCAGACCAGTGCAATACATGCTTTATTTGAGTGGCATGTCATGTGCTCTAACAGAAGTGCTTTTGTGCCTCCTACATCTCTGTAGGAAGAATTGTACCATGTTAATTGTGCTGACTTTGCTAGTGTACAGGTAATGTAGGAGCTTTGAACATGTACAAGTTCATTAAGTGAAACTTTGGGCATTTACTTTCACTTTGGGTAAGTCCTATCTGTATCTACCCATGTTGCAGCCTCATCAGTAGCCTTTCCCTTATGTTTGCCTATATGGTGTCTCATTTTTCTTTTTTCTTTAAATGCAAGGCTGAAAACATTGATTGAATTGAATTCCTTGTTGTATTACTTCTAAATCATTACACTCTGTAACATTTAATACCAAAATCCTTCTCATTACTTACCCAAAGGCTGAGAATTTGTCTCTGAGAGAGCTCAGCTATTCTCTTTTTCTCCCATCAGCTGGAACTCCCATTCAGACACTCTCATGTATTCAAGGCAGCATAGTTTTGCTTTACGGTAATCAAGAGGAGGTTGTGGGGAAGGATTGGTTTGTAGCCCAGAGACCTAATTTGGAGTCATTCGGAAGAGAAACAGTGCCAGAAAGCCTTTGGTTCTTGCATACAGATTAGTTCTTCAGGAATTGATCCAAAAAGTTGGGAAAAATTGTGTGCTAGACAGGGAAGAACTGCCTCTTTTTGGTTTGTTTTGTTTTTCACTGAGGGTCTTAATGATGTCCCTAAAGAAAGTAAGTAAGCAGGAAAAACAAAAGCACTTTGAAGAAGTGATTTCTCTTGGGGCACAGTTCTTAAGGAAGAAATACAAAATTAAATCCTAAAACCATTTTGTACATACATTTTAAGACTTGATATATAGGTTTGGCTGGCACCCAAATTAATAACCCAATAAATCATTGCTGTGATATTAAAGGGTTTAAACCAAGTGTGCTCATTGGCATGGCTTTCTGAGACCCAGTTGGTGCTTTTTTCTTGTTGTTGCTGTCACTCAATAATGAAATCCTTTGTTAATTAAAAGAACAAATTTTTATTTCTTGCAGTTTTTTTAACGCAATTGCTTTTACCCTTCATACAGAAATAACAGGCTTTGATCTGCAAATGCTGGATTTCAGCAGTGCATCTGGAGCTCATTTCTGGTTAAAGCTTTTCAGAGCATCGTTCTAGGGCTCCAGCTTTTGGAGTTGGGGGGATATTTTTCTGAGATGAAAGCTCAGGCTCAAGAGTGACTTTTACCAGATTAGAAGGTCATGGTTATTAAACGCAAAAAACAACAGCAGAGATTGGGAGTTTATAAATGCTTCTACTCAGAACGACAGAGCTACTGTATAAAGCTGAGAAAAGTTGGTCTGAGGCAAAGAAAACCCTTGCTTTTTTCTTTTTTTTTGTCTATATGAGTTTTTAAACTGTTCTCTTTTATTACTGCTGTGGATTTATGCTTCAAATGTAATTGATTTTTTTTTTTTCCCTCATGCCTTGGGGCAAATCAGAGTCCTGTTAGACAGCAAAACTTGTCCGTCCCTAAAGCCTGGTCCTGGGTGAGTGAGGAGAAGGCTTGGATGTCTAGGAAAGCCCACCTGACCATGCTCCTGTTTGAAAGTGCTGCATCTTGGTGGTGGCTGTGGCTGTTTAGGAACTGGTGGGTTTTTTGCATTGACTTCTGTGGTCAGTCTCACCATGAGAGGTCCTGAGCACTTCCAGTCCCACTGTAGCCTTTCCCTTGCTTTAAAATACCTGTGTCTCCTGGATGTTGGCAGCCAGGGTTGTTTTTCCAGGTGCTGCGGGTTCCTTGGCTTTTGGGCTGTCAGCTCCGTGCCAGCCGCCGTGTGTGGTGGGGCTGGGAGGTGGGGATATAACATTCCCCTAACCCACAGCCTACAAATTCCCATTTCTTTCTTTCCTTTTTCTTTTTCTCCCCCTTCCCAGAGAACATCCCTCGGGAGACACTGATGCATTTTGCGGTGAGGCTGGGTCTGCTGCGGCTGACGTGGTTTCTGCTCCAGCAGCCGGGAGGAAGAGGAGCTCTGAGCATCCACAACAACGAAGGGGCAACGCCCGTCAGCTTGGCCTTGGAGAGGGGCTACCAGAAGCTGCACCAGCTTTTGACAGAGTAAGGATGATTTGCTGGTTCCTCCGCTGGTTTTCCATTCTCTACCATGCTTGGCTTTGCTGCACATTATCCCTGAATAGTGTCTAAGGGCTATACTCCACCCTTAAAGGCAATTTTTATATAATTTTGCTTTTGCCTCTCTTGCTAGCAGCAATGGGGGCAGGCCCTGAGGGGTTAGGGGAAATGCAATAATATTATGTTCTCCTTTTGTGTTGCACAGTGTTCTGCTTCCAGCTGTCTTGTAAGACCCAAAGTGAGTCATTGTAATATTGACTAATTAAGACAAACCTTATGCAAACACAAATGAAAAAGCTTTTCTTTGAGCAAGCACAGCTGCCCAAAAGAGGGGGTATAGCAGGTGTTGTGGTGGTTGACTTTTGTGTTCTTATTTTTTAGATACAGAGGTTTTTAGTTAAATGAAATAATGATCATTGTATTGAAATAAGGCTGTATCTTGTAGAAAATAGGTATATACTAGTATAGGTAAAAAAAATTAGGTAAGAATTAATGCAAATACTTAACAGAAAACAGTTCTCTTGTGAGTGGTCCTGAGAAGCAGCCCAGTCTTACAGTACACAGCAAGTAACTTGTGGCATGAGCGTTTATTGCACTGTTTTACAAGGAATCCTTTGGAAGATTGCAAGTTAGTTTTGAATAGCAAATGTTTGGAGATCTAGCTTTAATAGCTGAGGCTAATAAAGACAAAGAGCTTAAATAAGTCCCAAGAGGGATATTTGTATAGGAGAAAAGATTTGGTCTCTATGTGTGTTATTCTGATGCCTGGTTCTCTTAAGCTTTGTTATTAACTTTGTTTTTCTGATTTGAATTTTGAGATACTTGGGGTTCACGTTGAGTGACTCAGTATCATGTTTAGGAGTGTTGTCCACATTATCACTCACTATTTCTCCATTATGAACTGTAAATTATTATGCTTTGCATATTTGTTGGATGGAGTGTTAGAGGGCAGAAAATGTGATCTGTGTTGGTGGAGTGAGTGTATTTAAGTTTCATCTTTAAATATAGCCAGTCATATGAAAAATGAGGGTGAAGGGGAAGGTGCAGGATGGGATAGGACCTATACTCTAACCTTTTGCCACCCTTGCTGGTATTAATACATGGATAACGACAGTGTTACTTTTTTCTCCATCGAGTTTAACAGTCATACTGTGAAAACACAACTCTCTCACAGGCTATCTTTTAAAAATGGAACATGCAAATTCATCCTATAACTGCAGCAAAGTTCTCCAAGATGAGACTAACCATGTTACAGGCTTTACATAGTGTCAAGAATCTTAAGTTGGCCAAAATTTGATTATAGAGCTCAAAGCAAATACTGCAACCTGAATGTGAGTAGAGCTGGTAATTTAAGTAGAAATGGGAAGTAAAAAAACTATTACAACAGCTATTCATGTATTGTGGAGTATATTCATGTATTCATGGTGGAGTATTTCACAACTGGTTCCAGTACTGGCATGGCAGTTCTCACTCAGTAGAATAAAAAAAGAAGAATTCTGGGATTCCATGGAATTGCCCTGTGCCATTGCCTTTAATGGATATTGCTGGTGCAATCCACGGGATTTCTCTGGTAACCTTTACAGTATGTCTTTGAAAATATGACACAAACAACTTCAGTAATGTTACTATCAAGATCCCAGCTCCTCTTCTTCTTAGTATATCGTTTAACTGTTCATTATGGTTTGTTTTCCTCTTGGGCTGCTGGGTGGAAGTATAATGTACAAATATCTGACAGCCATGCCACAGGTCCCATGACAGCGAAACCCCTCCTATTTCCATGAGGCCCTACAAACAGAAATCTGTGGATGCTCAAAATCAGTCCCCTTTCTCAATGGGTGAGATGGTGGTGGAGCACCCTGGTATGAGCTTGGGGCTGACTGGAGCAGTAGGAGCACCGTGTGACACTGGGCTGCAAAATGGGCACATCCTGATTCCTCAGCAGACTTTTACTGTGCTGAGCGTTTTCTGCAATAAAATGGGATCGAGGCTTGAAAATCCCTACTGAAAGAAGAAATACAGTTTCAAAATACAGCAAAGCAGAAAAATTCCGTGAAGAGAGTGAGTGTCATTTATGTGCTGTCAAAACACAAAGGACACTGTACAACCTCCTTTCTGCCCTCTGCTTATGCTCACGCTGTATAATCCGTGCACGGAAATTTGGCACACAGCTTGTCCCACTCAGCAAAATACAGAGCAGCAACGCATGTTAGTGAGGGCCCCTACAAAGGAGTCATTATTTTAACAAGTAATTAAACTGCACTTTGCCAAATAAATGAATGCAGCATGTTTTGTGATGCATTATCCTTGGGGGGAATTTATTGTTCTCTTTCTCGCTAATTCGCAGGACCCCGCATTTTACAACGATTCTCCCAGCCAGCATTGGGAAGGGGTGAAATTTTGCCATAATTAGGATACAATCATTAAAGAGCAGACACAAAACCTTCTCCCTTGTTGCAGTTTTACTGTGGTTCGCCTGCAAGTAGCTTGATTCAGCTGCAGTGTAAATATTTTTCTCAGAAACTAATTACACTGGTGACATTTTGAATTTCTGTTTATCAGATGAACTTTCTCTTTTCAGCTGTTGCAGTTCTTCATGTGAAAAAAAAAAAGAAAGATGCTTCCTATTTAAATTTTGTAACCCTTCAGGTATTCCTTCCCTTATGCTTGAGCTTGTGCTCTGGTTCTTCATTATCAGATGGGAAAAGTGCATGGGCTGGTTCTGTCCAGACCAAACTGAGGAGCTGTGATAGAGATCATGTAGGTCACCAGAGACAGAGAGCAGGGTGCTGATAGCAGCATTCATTAATAAATATTCATATGAGTAAATAAATATTCACCACCAATAGACATTCATCGGTTGTATGTCATTCCTGAGGGTGATTGTTTTATCTTTGAAATGAAAACTGCACAGCAAATATTGTCCTGCAGTGCAAGCGGAACAGGATAGTGTGGAAGGGCAGGAGTTTTATAGGGGAAAATATATATAAAGATTTATAAGTTATAGTATATATATATATTTTATATATATATAAATATGTGTATAAGTTTTGTTCTAGGAGCATTCTTGTTTGCTTGCTGGCAGCTTGCTTAACAGTTTGTTGTTGTTTATTTTTTTAAATACAAATTTAAAGACAATTTTTAACTATAATTTCAATAAGTTATCTTTACTTGCATGCAAAAACATTGGAAACCAGGAAGTTTGCATAGCCCTCTCTGAGTTTCAACAATTTCTGAGTGTGGTAGGAGCGAGTTCCAAAGTGAAGGGTCCTTGGCTGAAGCCTGTTGCTTGCCCAGTGTTCGAGTTGGGCAATGCTGGCTGCTCCGTGTCGGCTCTGAGGAGGCAGCACAGTTATTAAGCAGGCGGGTAGTACTGTGTGAGTACTGTGTGAGTAACTTGGCCTGTGCAGCAGGACAGCTGCAGTGTGCAGGAGTTGATGTTTTCCAACGCAGTGGTGCAGTAACACAATCCCCCTGCCAGCTCCATGTTCTGCTGTGCTCTGCACGGCAGTGAGGAAAATGGCTCCAAGACACAGCGAGCGAGCGGGATTGCAGAGAAATTGGAAGTGCTGCCTTGTAAAACACACAAACACTGATTTTGTTTCTGATTTCATTTCTGTCTAGTAATATTTTTTTTTTCTCCCCAGTGAAGCCAAATGGTTGTAGTTCCTTCACAGCTGAGAGTGATTTATGTCCCCTGAAAAAGGGAAGTGAGAGAAAGTAAAGCCCATTAAAAAAAAACTTCCATTTTTCTAATTGCTGCAAATAAAAGTTTTAGACTTGTAACAGTCTTGTAGTTTTTATTGTAATGTTATATTTTATTGTAATAGTTTTACTTTTGCTGATTTCTCTGCTTATTGCTCTAAAGCACTTCTGCAGAGCTCCGGGATTGCTCTTCCTTCAAATCTCCTGGTAATGTCCAGGTGGCTCAGTCTGTGAAACTGTAAGTCAGTACAAGTTTGTATTTCCAAAACTAAACTGATTTAGTTAGAACACATGAGGAATAACTCACTGGTAGCAGAAGGGTTTTGTGAATGTTTTGCAGTCTGTTATTATCACTTGCTATTGTTCTGATTTTACGTAAGTAATTGGTGAAGTCTGGGCTGTAGTCTTTGTGGTGCCTCTCAAATAAGGAAGCTTTTTCAGTGACTTTACTTTTATAGCTGAATACACTTTTCTACTTCTTTGAGCCAGAGCTGCAAGAGGATTTGCCTTGTATGTATTTTTTTTTTTTTTTGCACCCCAATTTAACAGGTCCTTTAAGGAAGTGTTTAGTTTCAGAAATATCCAGTTCATGTTCATCAGAGTTTAAGCATGATCTTAAAACCAAGCACTTCTTACAGTGCCCTGCCAGACTGGGATGTAGATGAAGATGGACATTTTTCACTGAAGTTTGGTGCTAGGTTGTTCCATTAAATTAAGTCTTTGCATAGGCTGAGAGCCATCTGTGATGCAGATGCTTTCCAAAGTCGCTGCTTTCCTGAGACTGAAAACATTACTGTGACTTCAGTGCCAGGAGGTGGCAGCTGTATGGGAACAGGGTGCTTGTGCCCCTGAGAATGTATAGGCTGAACCCTCCTTTCCTGTATGAACCTTGCGAGCTGAGAACTAAGTGTGCAAAGATCTGAGTCTCCCCTTGATCACTTCAGTTCTTTCAGTATTTATTTGGAGCATGAGCAGGACACAGCTGGGGATGTGCAGGTGGCCAGAAGGTTGCCACCACACTGGCAGGTGATGCCATGCATATCTTTAATTTTATTTCAGGGTAAGCAGAATCAGGGGCTGAAAGGTTTATTGAATTAAATGTTGATGTTTCTCCATCTGTTCTTCCACTCCAAACCAAGCAACAAATCCTTTTGATTGCAGTTTGGGGTGCTGGATTTAGAATATGTCTTGCTGTGGTGTGGCAGGAGAGCAGTTGACTTTGTCTCTTAAGTGCTGGCACAAGATTAACATTTAAAGGGGGATTCAAAGGTATTAAAAGGGCA